TCACTTTTTCTGTCCTGCAAGGACTAAGCCTTTAACTATGCAAGACCTATGCCCCTGGGAAAACAACATTCCCGAGGAAAAGTCATCCTGAACCAATGAGCTCTAAGTGATCCTGAACCAATGTGTTTTCAATGACACACAGCAAATTTGCTGGTGTGGCTAACAGAAGGCTAATGTGGGAAGCCGGTGACAACCCACTCAGGTTTTAGTTTTGAAATCAAACTGAGTTTTATGACCTCAGCATAAACGAGCAACCCAGAAGATGGAAACATAACATCAGAGACCAAAAAGGAGAACACAGGAAAGAAAGCGAAGAGATAAATGTCACAGGAGCTACCTTCATCTGGGTGTGAAACAGGAAGACTCCATTTCTCTGTTTTTCTCCCTGATTCTCATTCTTAGCGTCATAATTAACTGCAAAGGCCACACTCTCACAACACAAAGGCCCAAGACACCAACACTATCCTCCCATCACTCAGAAGAGAATATGGGGGTGGGTGGGAATATGGTGGAAAATCACTTGACAAAGCTATCAAGAAAAAACATGCCTTACTGTAAAAGCTTCCGATTAACACATAGTACTTGTTTGGAATTCAAGAACTTTAATTCTAAAAACTCAGTAGTTGGAGAAAAGAAAAAAATAAAGGAAATAATTAAAACAGATGGGTGGAAAACAACCCCCACCCACTCTCCATGAAAACAAATTTCACTTGAAAATTAAACAGAAACATCCCTCCACTCCCCACTTCCCCCCCCAAAAAAACCCCACCCCCAAAAATGCTATGCCCTGAGAGCAAACACTCCAAAATACACGTATATTTTTAATAGCCTCCAAGTCTCAGCAGTAGGTCTTAACAAGGACATGTATTGAGAAACTTGAAATCTGGTTTGCAGGTATAGCTGTATAGAGCACGTTAGAAAGGTAAATGGCCCAGAGCTAGACTGGGTACATGGTGTGGCTTTAAAAGTGCACAATTATTTCATGAAAGGACCTAAACCAGCAGCTGATCCCAGGATGCTAAGGGAAAGTTATAAGAAAAGACAGCAAATGAAAGATAAGCAAGTTATTTGCCACATTGTATATGAGGCACAAAAGGCTCCTTGTTGGTTATATCTGGAGAGGGGGATGCAGGAGAGGGTTCTGAAGGCCTCAGGAGAAGAGGCACAGGGCATACATGTGTCCTGTCACTATGGGCTCTCACCCACACCCATGACAGCTGCTCCTGAATGCAGTTCTCAGTTGCTCTGTTGGCCAGAATTTAAAATCACAAATCTGTAAGTAAAAACCAAGAAAATAGCAAAAGCCAAAGCACCTTACCTGCAATACAGGCAACTGATATTTTGTTTTAAAATAAATTCAGGTAATCTAGAGCAGGATCTTTGGATAAGACCAATTTATAGGTTTTAGGTGAGTTGAATTCATCCTCAAATCCTTGGGAGGATGAAAAACAAAGGCTAGAAGCAGACTGAAATATTCAATTTCTTGTGGGGGGGGATTATTTAAGAATATGCCTGCTCATCCATAGCTACTTTCTGTCCTGTTCTCTGCCAGCTGTCCCTCTGGGTCCCACTCTTGAGGATCACATAGATCTCTCTGTTATCACTCACAAGTGGGAGTGTCTCATGTGGTCACAAGGTAATTCAGAGCTATTTCAAAATAACTCAAAGTATCACTCAGGCTTTTTTCACTTACAACATTTTATAAACTGGTCAAATAATGGTTTTCGATTGCATTATCTCTTTAGTAGGAGAAAACAAATTTCATTATGACACTGAATTGAAGTGCTTTAATGGGCAATGGCTCCTGGAGAATTGTCTCCTTGCTGTTGTCATAAGCAGGCTGCCTTTTGATGACATTATAGCCCAGCTTTGCCATTACTTGTCGAACAGAATTACCACTGGGAAAGAACAGGCCCCCTAGCAGCAGGGTGCCAGAGCTTATGGCCTCCAAGTCCTATAAAGTCAGTCATCCCTGGATTAAATTCTTTTTATTTCTTGATTGTTTAATGTCTTGAATAATATAATCACTGTTTTAATTCCGGATTTGAGCCTTCTGGCAGTTTTCCAAAGGGCACACATTTTGAAGTCAACAAATTAATGAGCATTCTCTTCAGTCACCACAAGTTCTCTGCGCACGGAGAATATTTTTATAGGAGTGGTCATGTTAATTTGTAAACCGATGCTACCCCAGGGGTTGACAATGCAGAGACAGATAGTGGGAAAGCATGGCTTGTGTCTAAAAGAAGGGCTTTGTGGGCTGGCAGTGATAAACGGAAAGGAGAAATTATATGATATTGCATTTAAGCCACAAAATTTGTGAATTCATATTTCTGCCTGAGGATCTGTACCGATTGGGGGAAGCCCACAGTCTAATATTTATCTTTGGAATTAAAGTGAGAACTTAAGAAATAGGACATGAGTTAACTATGAAACTAATATTGCAACTCTAAGTGGATGAGGTTTAAAGGTTATTTTAAATAAGCAGGAAAATATCAGTCTGATGCCCACATGGTGAATATGTTGGCGAATGTTCTGAAGGGAGCTTTTGGAAAGTAAGCATGTATCATGCGCAATAGAAGTTTTGATTTTTTTTTTATAACCACACCCAGTGGTGCTCAAGGGTTACTTCTGGCTCTGTGCAGTTATCAGTCTGGCAGGCACAGGGGACCTGAGCTCAGGGATGGGATATCAGGGATTGAACCCGGGTGGGCCGTGTACAAGGCAGGCAGCCCCTCTGATTTAATTCTTGAAGAAATATACAGCAACTGGGTCAGTCCTGTTGTATTACCACTAAATTTAAAAAGTCAATATCCAATACCAAGAACTTTGTTCGGTTTTGATGAGAAAACAATAAATATGAAAATATGCTCATAATTAGGTATTTGAAAAGTGATACTAAAAATAATTATAAAACATATTGAGGTTTGAATATATAGAACTGAGATGAAAGGATGGAGCAGGAATAAGTTTATTTTTTAAAACTACATATACTTTATTATCATTTTGCTTGTTTACAAATGTGAATGTGCTATCTATTCACATTTAATTTGTTAAATTCATTAAAATTAAAATAATTATAAATCATTAAATCTATTAATTAAATAATTTAACAGGATATAGTTAAAACAAGGTTTCTACTGAATTATGTATTACATGAAAACTAATTTTGTGTTAGATTAAACATGACTTTTAAGAAACAAGTTGTTGGGTACCTTAGTACTTGATTATTGTCTTTACATAACTGTTGTAAATAGAAATACTTCACCCTCCAAAAAATAATTTGTAAATGCACCTTTATTTCATAAAAGCATTTTATTCTTGGGGCTAGAGCAATAGCACAGCAGGTAGGGCATTTGCCTTGCATGTGGCTGACCACCCAGGTTCAATTCCCAGCATCCTATATAGTCCCCCGAGCACCGCCAGGAGTAATTCCTGAATGTATGAACCAGGAGTAACCCCTGTGCATCACTGGGTGTGACCCAAAAAGCAAAAAAAAAAAAAGCATTCTATTCATTCTATTCTTAAGTCAAAGGAGAACAATCTTTAAGAAAATAGAGATCATGTAACATGAAATAGTAATCTAATCGGTTTGTTTATTATTTTCATAATCTAGTGTGCATTTATTCTAATAAAATATACAAGGGCATTTATGAAAAAATGCATTGTGATGCCTGGAATAAGAAAGTAAAAGAGGGGGAAAACATGTTTCTAACCACAAACTGATAATCCTAAACCCTGGGAGTTTAATGCTGGCATTCTGCTATAATGCCATTTTGAAAAAACACTAATGCTCTGTTTTCCATATTGTCTTCCTCTCACCCTTTGGGATACAATCCAGATCAGTTCAGATGTCAGTCCTGTTTAACTGAGGTCTGTGGAATGGGATTATCTTGACCCTTATTTAGTCCCATCAGAAAGGCCCGGACATACTGTGTGCTAGACATACAGGGCCAGGGGTGCTGTAGAGTTTAGCTCAGAATCTCAGGGGTAGTTTTGGACTCCTGTAGAGTCATTATATATAAATCCTTGGCAGCTATGGAAGGCAAAGGTCATATACTAAAGGCCTCAAATAGTAAATTTCTTAGATTCACTAAAGACTAGGCATGTCCTATCAAAACCCATGGTTTCTTTTTGCAGAGGTGGGGTAGGGTGGGGGCAGTATGAAAGTGTTTAATAAATGATGTCAGGTTGGGTGAACTTGTGTGTGGGACCTAACCAGAAAAACACTGCATTTATTGATTTATTGGGGATGGGAACACCCTGTGGTACACATGGAGCCTGGGGACTAATTCCAGGAAATTCTCACCAACAAGACCTACTGCTAAGATCACTGCTAAGGTCTGAGGATCCATTGCTACTTTGGGGCCTGCAGTGCTGGGGACAACCAGGTGACTCTGGTCGAAGGGTCCTGCTGCTGTCGAAGGGCCCAGTGGTATTGGGAATCAAATGTACTGCACTTAACCCCTGTAATATTCTCTGTCCCATCATGGATCTGAGATTCAATGAAATGTTTAGCACAGTATACACCTCAATATTTCTAGTCTTACTATCTCAACTGGTCACCAAGAAGAGAGTCCCTTGAACTTCAATCCAGATGATGAGCCAGCAAGATCATGGCTTTTGTTTCCATTTTACAAAGAGAATAACAAAATCTCAAAGATTTCAAGTATAAAAAAAGTGCTTATCTTCATGTAGATCATTTTATGGTAGAATCAATGCTTAATTCCACCTCTGTCTGAAAGCCATGTTTCTCTCTACTTTAATAGACAACCTCTAAAATAAAACTTTCAGCTTTAGTAGTCTACACATTATAAAATTATACTGAACATGAAAGACCCACTCACACTAATTTGTAATTAGGTATATGAAAAATTATCAATAAAAATCTAAAATCAACTGCTTGGGCATGTAAAGGTATTCAAAAAATAATCATAAAATCCTCCCTCTATGTAAAAAACAGGATTGAAATATTAAACAAGATAGAAATGTATAAGTCTTACCGCCTTCCTCAGGTTCCATGTCTAAGAGTTCATCTATAAATTTATTAAAGGGAAAAGAAAATAAAATTATGAATCAGTTTTATTTTGTAAGGACTGTGAATTAAATTATTAGAATTCAGTCATCTTCCCTTAGATTACCTGAGCATGCATTATGTGTAGAGCTTTTGTCTAAGGCAGATAAAATACTTTTTCCATCTTCAGCTGTAAATGTAACACATGCAATTGGTTATAACCAATTCAGAATTGTATACATGTTCACATACTATTGCAACATAGGTAAATTCACAGATTTTGGAAGAAAAGGCATCTGCAAACTCATCCATGAAGACACAGAGGTCCTCAGATTACTTCTTACTCCAGCAATTTGCTCTCAATAAATGCTGAATGAACAACTCTGAATCTCTTTATTGCTTATTTTTGTAGGGGCCACTCCAAGAGCTTCCTGGGGGCCTTTCAGTACCTGGACAGAAATCCAAGCCTCACACATGGCAGGCACGTGCTCTCTGCTACCTGAGCTATCTCCCTAGCCCACAGCCCTGCATTGTTGCTTTGGTAGATAATCTAGAAAAACTATGACACTGACTTAAAATTTCACATGATGTTTAAGTGAACTTGATGGTACAGGTGGTCCTAGCTAGAAGGGCAGATGAGTGAGAGAGCCAAAAATGAAAGGGCTCTTCATACTGCACAATTTCAACTATTCGGCATTTTGGAAAAGGCAAAATTACAGAAACTGTGAAAGCATCAGAGATGAAATGGGTTTTAGGAGGGGGAGAAGAATGGGGAAGCACAGAGGATTTGGGGGACAATCAAACTATTCCATATCATACTGTGTTAGAGGACACATTGTTCTGTGTCAGCACAGTGTGCAACAGCAAAAGCAAACCCTAAACTATGATATAGTTGATAAAGATGTGTCATCATTGGTTCACTGCTTGTAACTAATGTATTACTCTAGTGTTTATGCTATGTATGTGGACAAGGGGCTTAGAAACAAATCTTTGTGACTCCTGCCCAATTTTTTGTGAACCAAAACCTGCTCTAAACAATAACATCTGTGTGTGTCTGTGTCTATATTATATGTATAATAAAACAGTGTTAAAACTTGGTGTGCTCATAGACACATTAGACTCTCTTCAGGTCACAAAATAAAAACCAGAAGACACTTCATTGTAATGTATTCCATTCACTGTATATATAAAACAAGGTGATCAACATTTACAATCTCACATATTATGCAAATGATACAAGCAAGTGAACATATTGCACCAAGAAAATATTTGATGCTTCTATACTGTCACATGGTGTTTAAAATATAATTTCTACATATTTATATTCATATGAATACCAATTTAATAAAATTGGAATTTATATTTACCTGGATTCTCACAACATAACAAATTAGAATGTCAGTTCCTAAAGGATCCGAAGGCTGGAGTGTGTGGAAAGACACATAGGGTGCTCACAGGGCCATGGAAATTAGCTGGGTCTGTTGTTCTGCCTTCTTAAACCCTAGGACAGTTCCTCTGACCTTCTCTTGGTCCTCCATGGCTCTGTATTTGCCAGGGTGTTTTGCTGCTATTGTTGTTGTTTTTGTTTCTCAATGGCAACTCTTGCAATGGCACTTGATTTATCTAGTTCCCTGACCCCTCAGATCGGTGAAGTTTTCCTAGCACACATGCCTGTGGCCCTCTGGATTCTCACCGGAGTTGGAGCTACCCAATTACCTGTGTAATATTACATGATGACCTGCTTACTTTTTCCGCCATAGCCCTATCCTGGAATGGTCTGAATATGGCTGGTGTGCCTCTTATGCCCAGTACCCAGAGCTGTGTTAGGCACAGAGGTGGCTCTCAGTAAGCAACTGTGTACAAAGGAACCAGTACATATATGAAGATAATATATACATACATGAATAGATGACATGAAGCCAAGCTCTTGAGGGAAAATAGTGAGGCTTTTTTTTTTCTGTTGAAAGGCAGATGAAAAAAAGCAAATGAAGCAGTAAAGTAAGGGCTAAATAAAGTAAAGCAAGTGGTTGGAAAGTAAGGGAAGAGGAGAGAAAGAAGAGGGTTGAGGAAAAGAATGGAACAGAGGAAGTTCCATGGTCTCTGTGTCTGCCCCTTCTTCCATTAAGGTTACCTTAGCAAACAGAAGTGCAAGGGAGGGGCAGCTATGGCCCTGATTGTCCCAACCAAAAGAGGGTTGGGATAATTTTGTTTTCATACCACCCATAAAATTCTCCCTTGCATCTAAGGGATTTTGTGTCCTAGTGAAAGGCTCAGTATTGCCATCTTGTTATTTCTATCACCATTTACCATACCTTCTTGACCCCCTTCTATCAAATAATCCCCCTCTTCTGCCCCCAACCCCCAAAAAATCAGCATTAGCAAGTTGGCAGGAGACCAAAAAAAGAGAAAAAATAGAAATAAGTCTTTTACAGGATATTCTGTAATCTGCTAACACCCTGCTCCTCCTTTTGAACATAATGATGAGTTTCTCATTGTGTCAGAACCAGCTCCTGTTTGGTCCTTTATCTACTTTCAGCACACATCTCCCATCCGAAGTGATACCTCCAACCATCATTGACTTAGTGATCCCTTCTCAAACACAATGGCCTCTCAGTATGTATTGCAAACCATCATGCCCAAAAGTAGAAAGAAAGAGGGAATTGTCCACCATAGAGGCAGGGAGAGGAATTGGGATGGGTGGGAATAGGGAATTTGGAGATATGAGTGATGGAAAATGTACATTGGTGGAAAAATTGGTGTTTGATCATTGTCTAACTGAAACTCAAACATAAAAGCTTTGTAAATGTATCTCACGGTGATGCAACAAAAAAAGCAGCTCCTACACTCTCCCCATCTGCTCCTGTGTGGCTATGGGTGAGCCCAGTATACAACTGCAATGAGCATGAAACTCAGCTGAGGCAACCATGCCACTGCACTAAAACTACCACACCTAAAACACAAATGCAGAACTAGTAATGGGAAGTGCATACATTTTATCATCTTTTCTTGTGAAAAGAAAGAGCTCAATATCTCTTTGGAAGACCTGCTACTGGAGTGACTAGTAATACTATTTTCTGGTTCATAATATAGAGCTTTTCCCAATGTCACTACAGAGTTAACACATCACTGATATTTGAAACTTTAAAGCTGAAACTATAGGAAGCAAACTAATAGCCTTTAATTGGCAAAGAATAAAGGCCCAAAAGAAGTTTGCCAGGAATGGAAATGAGTTGGTTGCTGAGCAGTGTTCTTTCAGAAGCAATGTTAAAGAAAAATCCAAACTTACTTTTTAAGCTTGAGGATTCCTTGTGCTGGTTATCATCCTCTAATGAAATTAACCTTGAAATAAAAATAAATGTTTGGTAATCTAGTTCTGAAAATGTTAACATTTTTGATAGAGCAAGGTTTCCTGTTAATACCTATGACTTATAACCACACACATGCACATGCATACAAACCCACAAACACAAACATTTACACGCGATGCATTTTTTTTGAAGAGGAGTTAAGTTTGCTGGCTTTCTCCAATTCTAAGGCTGGTGTGTAGCATCTTAGTAACAGAACTTGGTTTCATCATAGGCGCATATTTTGCAGATATCTAGTTGGGTAGCTAGGTGAAACAAAGACACAGTTAACACTTTAATGCCTGTAGTTAGGAGGCAGGGAGAAGGCCCAAGGGGTCAGAATATTTGCTCTGCATGCAACTGGGCTGTTTTAATCCCCTACATTACATTACACACCATACCCCTATCCCCAGCATTGCTAGGTATAGCTCTGGTGGCCCCTGGCCTGCTGGGGTGGAGCACAGCTGTATCATCAGGCTCTTGCATTAACTCATCTAGTCCAGTTGTCCACTTTCCAAAACATAAACAAGAACAAACCATAAACAACTGAGGGGAAATAGGGGTTTAAAGTGATTCCTGGTATCAAGGAAGGGACAGTGCAAGAGATTAAAGGACAGCAAGTTGATTGCCAGCAGGCTCACTCTCAATTCTAGAAGAACAATATCTCTTCAGCTCCTATACTTCCTCATAAGAGCATGGCAGTAGGACCTCACCACCCTGATGGGCCTAACTGGGTAAGTAGCCTCTAACTGCCATTGCTGAAAAAAAAAAATAACAAAAGCCTTAGTAGAATTCCACGGTCATTTTAGATAGTTATGGAAGTGACTTTTTTAAAAAAAATTTCAAAAAAGTAATTAAATACCAGAGGAATGGAGAAATTAGAAATGAATCAGAACTGATCGGACAAGCAAAGTTCCCAGAGTCTCAGTCTTTCATTTATGCAAGGGGGAAATGCCAGGCGTGGCTTCATGGAAGATTTGTATAAGAGGCAGCAACTGGCACTATGCTCCATGTATTAGGTGCTCCCCAAATAATAGCTGCAGGATGACTATTACCAAGAGGACATTAAACTGATCTCTTCCAAAGACAGTCAACTGAACTAGATTCACATTGTATCCTTGCTCCTCTAGCAACTTCATTTGCACTGAAGAGATTCTCCAGACTATACTTTAAAATTTACAAACCTGATGAAGGTAACAAACATTCCCACGGGACAAAAAACATTTGAAACTTTCTAGAAATGTTTTACTTTCTTGGTTTTACTACAAAACTGCCACCAACATTTTTGGGGTTTGGGTGAAGTACAACAAATGTAGGTGATCTGTTTTGTTTTCCTAGGTCCACCCATTTAAGATGAACCCTATTCCTGCAGGCTCTTACATCTCTACAGAAAATGACAAATCTTTATTGAGACTAGGATCCATGCATGCTATTTGCGGAAAAGTTCATCTCTGTTTTTAAAATGACAGCAGGGCCCTTGTTCTTAGAAAGGGAAGAAATGAAAATGGAGTATCACTTCCTACACGCACAGCTGCTCCCCGCTTCACTGAGAAGAAAACAGAAGGTCTTCACAGTAGAAAACCCAGCATCACAGGCCAAAATTTTGTCTTGATAACGCCTAGATGTGATAACACTAGATGTGTTAGATGGCAATTTCATAGGGTAATTCCCGTTATGAGAGCAAAGCCAGGGGATTTCTTATCTAGGGGAGGATCTTGCAAATGGTGGTGATCAAAGGGGCTGAGTCCAGAAAGCAGGAAGAACTGGAAACTGAGTCTGAGACCCTAAGCATGAGCACCAGGGAACACAGGGGACTTTTGCCCCTTCTCTAGACAAGGCCTCACAAGTTGCCTCTTCTAATTCTTCAGACTTGAGTTTCATTTTGGGAGCAAACCTGGATTGACAGAAAGATGTATGAGAGGAATTCAGCCTCAATTTTAATACATCCATATAAAGAAGTGAATGAGTAGAGTAATTTCCATATCCGAGACCCCATCAGACTTGGTCAGCAAGGAGTCTGCTGCCTTTACTTGTGGAAAGAAAGATTTTGTAAGAGAAGTAGCCTGCGACTTACTGACTTGGCTCTTCTGCTATGGCCTCTGCACTTTGCTGCGGGCTGATCTTCTTCCTTTCTTCTTTCTCAACCAGTTTTTTCATAGGATCTTGTAAGCTCTAAATGAGCCACAGAAATCGAGTGGGGTAGGGAAGACAAAGAAAAAAAAGGCCATCAATTAAAAATTCAACAGCCACTGATTCTAGCAACCAAAGTTGAATCAGAACGTCTGGGAGGTTTCCTTGAACCAATCAAGTGAACAGAAGTGAAATTTTATATCCTCTCAGACTCACTGAAGTAATACTAGCTTATAAAGTTGCTTTGTCCTTAGATTAATGTTTCCCTTTTGTGATAAGTTATTCAAAAGAAGGCCTTCTGGCTATAGCTAACTTTATTTTCCATCTTTAGCATGCAGCTAAGATAAACATTCTGCTCTATTTGCGCCCACACACTGACAAAGTGGAAGTTTTTGCTACTCCGAAGATGAGAAAACTTAATTTTATATTTGATTTTTCTTGCTATTTTGCAATCTGCAAACAGTGTACTAAAAAAAAGGGAGACAACAAAACCTTTAAAAGAAAAAACAAACAAACAAAAAACCCAAAATAGTGACAACACGTTCTGACAATTTTACTCCCAAAAGTGGACAAAGCAGGTATATTCAAATCTTTGTAGATTAAAAATGGGTAAGCCTCTTTGTGGTAAGTTATTTCTGGGAATTACTATTCTCAATATTTATTAAATGGGTAATGAATATAATTTAAAAAGCTTGTGTCTATACCAGCAACAAAATCTTGGTAAGATAAAACAAAAAATTTTCTGTGAGAACCAAATGATATTATAAAAAAGATCTCTATTTCTGGCCCTTATTAAAATATAAACCTAAAAATACAAAAGAAACATCTCAAGAGACTTATTCTTCTTATACTCTCAAATAGGTCCATGCCTTCATCCTTTGGACCCTCAAGTCTCTCCATTTCATCTCTCACTTCTCTAGCCTCCCCCCCCCCCCCCACCCCGCCATACACACACAAAGGCAATTATGTTTCATATGGCTCTTCAGAGCGCTTTATGATGACTTTCTTGAGGGCTGGATGAAGAGCCCAGAGCTGCATCTGGTGGGGCAGAGCTGTGATGACTTTGGTGCCTGCCTTAAGCAGGCTGGACACTGGTCCAGCCCTCCTCCATGTTGATTTGATTTCATATCAGCATCATTCTCCTAAAATACCCAGTGCCTCATGTTACTGTTTTTGCTCATGGACCCATATAACTTATGTCATTTGTGAATGTGAAAATATTCTGTTTAAATGAGATTTGGAGCAAAAGAGAGTGTACCCTGGTAGATTTAATTTATCAAATGAAAGGGTCCAACATGCCGTGCATGTTCCTCAAGTAATGATGCCTTTACTGCAGAGGTTTCAATTAACATTCTGCCAGTCCTTGAAACTGAGAAGAGCATGTGGGTCTCTTCATGAATGTACTTTCTAGTCTGCCATCTCTTCTGATCTTTTATTTCTGAAGAAACCCTGTATGTATGAGAATAACTATTTTGCTTCAGATTAATACTGTTTCTCCTAACCTAACCTTACTGCTAATTTTTAAGATACTCTAAAACATGATCTCATTTTTCTCTTCCAAATGACTGCTCAGGAGTTTCCAAATATTCCCATTCAACTCATCCTGTCTGCTCTTACCTCCTTTATGCTAACAGCTCTTGTCTTTTCTTTGTTCAACCTGCTACATTGGCCTAAAAACTCTGCCTGCTCATCTTCAAGTTATTTAAGTCCGTGCAAAACTAGAGAACAATTACCAGCATTTTCTGTGAAGTTTCATTCAGTAGGCATGGTCAAAGTCAAGAAAGACTTTCCATCTTCAAACTGCATTTACAACATTGTATGTGTGTGTGCATGTGTTTTCTCAGCAACACCTGACAGTGCCATTCCTCGCTGTGTGCATAGAAGTGACCCGTGGCAGTGCTTGGAAACCATGGTGTGCTGAGGAATCAAACCAACCAGGGTCATTGGAATGCAAGGCAAGTTCTTGAACCTTGGTACTCTCCTTCCAGGCCTTAAGACATTTAAAAATTTTTAAATAATAAAAACACGTGTAGAACATTTGGGGGGCAAAAAACTCGTAATTCTATTTCCTAAGTTACTGAGTTATTATATTCACCTATTTCCTATTTTGAAAAATATTTGTACTAGCTATATAATTGAAATCATTGTATATATTATGTACACAGATGTCCTCTTAACCAATAACACTGTGTAGCTATTTCACAAACATGTTTATCGATTTGGGGATTAAGATTTTATATAATAATCACTGAATACACAAATGTATATTCATGCACTTACATACTAATATAAGTTCTTTAACCATTTATATGCCCTCTGAATGGACTTCTGGTGCTTTTTCCTGTGAGAACTACATCAATAAGACAGTGTCATCCTTTTAAATGACTCCTATTTCTGGTCATTTAAGGTACTTGCCTTGCATGCAGCTGACTTTGATTAGATCCCCGGCACCTCATAATATCCCCTAGACCCTGCCAGGAGTGATCCCTGAGCTCAGAGCCAGGAATAAGCCTTGAGCATGGCCAAGTGTGACCCCAAAACAAAACAAGTAAAAACAAAACAGTAATAGAAAGTGATCCTTCAGTTAGCAGAGTTTCTCTTCCTGGAGATCCGAACAATACAAGGAACAAGCCATGTGCATGCAGCTCAGAGATGAGGGAGAAGGGGCCTTAAGTGTAATGGAAAGAAAAGGTGGAAATAGTTTGGCTTGTTTCAAGTACACAAAGAATGCACTGAGGCTGGAGTCTAGTAGGCAAGTTACAGATCTCAGCAGATCAACAGAAAGAGGCCAGAGAGAGTCACACAGGGAGAATACTCCCTTACCCACTTTTGTCAACATGTAAATTTTCTCTATAGTTTTATCATAATATTTTGCTCTTTCAGTCTCTATAATTAATAACATCCAAATGAAATCTATAGTCCTTGGGCAGAAGCAGAAATGTCTAGAGGACAACTGGAACAGTGAGGGGATTGAAATAATAACTTTATTTGTGATGCTCAAGCATCTGATAAAAGGCACATGTTAGTATATACATGCATGGTTTGGGAATGTGCAACCATAAGTGGTTCAATAGATGTCAAGACTTACTCATTTCAATAGATTTGGTAATCACGGTATTACACACACACACACACACACACACACACACACACACACACACACACACACACACACACACACACCTTCTAGCAGTTATATTCTCCAAACTGAGATCCAAGACTTTTGGAGTCTGTGAAGCTTGTCTTGGATGCTGGCTCGCTCAATTATCTTCTCACTGCATTTTCTTTTACTCAATCAGCACTAGGCAGGGCCAGGACATGTCTGCTCTCAGCCGTCCGTGTCAAGCTATCACAGTGCTTGCCTAAGCCCCTGAGATGCCCTTGACAGCTCTATGGTTATCATCCCTCTGTCTCCAGCCTGACCTCCCCTCATAACCACACTCTCAGACAATCCCTTTGTAATGTAAACCACTCACTCCTTTTGCTATCCCTTCCCCCTGTTGGGCCATTAGCAGGGACTCAATTGTTGGCTCCCATCACCACAATCACAGTTAAGTCACTATTGTATTTCACCAACAGATTAGCTGCAATTCCAGTGGCTACTTTAATTTTAAGTTATTATTAATAATTCTTTGTCAGTTGCTCCTCTCTTCCCACTGTCACTACTGAGGTTAAGGTGAAAAAAAAAAAGAAGTGAAGAATAAATAAAATAAAGTGAAAAAAATTAGACCTCCTTAGCTAGGAAATTCAAAAGCTTGGGGGAATGATATGTAAAGGTTTATAAAAGCGCAAGCAAAATTAATTCTGAGCACATGGGCTTATTATAAATTAGAATTTTGAACAAAGAGAAACCTCTGTGTGCACTTATACCTCTACCAGTTTTACTGAGCTCAGCTTTAAGATTTATTCATTCAAAGTCTACAACTGATTTTTTTTAAGTCACAGTCACAGTTGTACAACCATTACAACAATCACTTTTTGAACATTTTCAAGGAGCATATCTTGAAGCAAAAAAAAAAAATTAGATCAAACGAAGCTAAATGTTTCTTTACAGAGCAAGGGAAACTCCCTTCCCCCATAACAAAACATGTGGAACTGTTTCTAACAAAAGATGGAAAACACTGAAGACAGAGAGAAGCTGAGAGGAACTCTGAAACATGTTAGAGCACGAGTTATTGTTCCCCTTCTCTCCCTCAAAATGAGTTCCTGGGTGCAACAGGAGATACAGGAAATTCTGTGTGGTGGACAGGGCTCTAACTAAGTTTGGATATAAAGGCCCAACTGGGGGTTGGGGGAAGGGGTTGAGGTGAATTCTTTAAATTATTTCAAAGTCCACAACTCAGCTGTAAACTCTTAACCCTGCAGCATCTGTAAGAGTCAGAGGTGATGGCATTTTTGGTGTGACTCAAACACCTGCTCAGGCAAAATAAATCTAGGGGGATGGATGACCGTACATGAAGCAGCCATCAGATGGAAGTACTCTGAACCTGTGGCTGATGGAAGCCACATTCAACACCAAGCCCACAGATGAAATGTCAATACATTACGTTTTGAAACCCCAAATCCACTAGGTCTTCTGCTAAAATGGCTTGTGAAAATCACTATTAGCAGCAATGCAGCCTCATATATGCCCTAAAAGTTCTCTGCAGAGGAAAGAATGCTTTTAGAAGAAGTAACCTTTTCTGTTAAGGCTGCACTGACATGCTAATAGTTTCCATCAATGCTTAAATGGTTTCAGGAAGCACACACACAATATATAAGATCAGCGTGACAGAGGAAACACGCAGACAGAGCTTGCAAAAGTGTCTTAGAAAGGAAACAGCTTAATATAATAATGGGAGTTACTATTTCCTGTATTAGAAAAATAAAAGCAATGGCAACATTCATCTGAATGAAAGCAAAACTATTCAGCAAAATAAATTTCACAGACAAAAGGCCAGCAACCAGCACTAATATAGTGAGTTAAACTTAATGTTTAACAATGACAATGGGGTAACATTCTCCCTAATCTTTAATTATGACATTTCATTTTCTTATGCTAC